TGCAGAAGATATACTGCCTTATAAACTCACTGTGTTTGGAAACAGGCAAACACAAATAAATACTCTTTGGTGGGCCACAGATTACTTAACTACATACAAATGTCTTCCCAGATTTACTTATTTATGCCACAAGTTACCATCTGTGCAAAAAAAAATTAGTAAATCCAGCCTCTTCTGAGCAGAATTTGCTTATACAGTATTTGGGGTCTGCCAGGTAGTAGAGAAATTTCTAGACAAAGCAATATTATATGCCTGTGTATAATTTCAAAGACTAATTTTAAAATACAATAAAGATGCCAGTTAGTCACAAGGACAAGTGATTGCTTCTCGAGCCTGGCCCTGATTAGGGAGCATGGAATACCTGCTATCACTAGCCTGCTCAGTGAGACTCTTACTTTAATCTCACACCCAGGTGTATGGACTGAGATGCATGGTACTGACATTCAATGTCTTTGTGTGTCTCAATGAGAGAGAAACAGAGAAGAAAGAATTCTCCAGTAAAACTTGAATTGAAAAGTTGTTGTTGCATACCACTGAGTCAGAACCAACTCATAGCTGACCCCCAAAAGGGTTTTCAGAGGCAGTAAATCACAAGGGACAAGACTGTCAATGCTTCTTCCACAGAAAACTGGTAAACTTGAACCATGTGCCTTCGGGATTGCATCACTCCCTAGCTTCTTACTAGCGGGCCACTGGAGCTCCTTTAATTTAAATGAAAGACAAAGATGTTGAGTCTATGTCAGTTCTCTACAAAGAACAGAAGCAGAGATATGTGGAGAATTTCAGTTCCAGACTTGTGTTGCTTGCTAGAGATAAAGTCTATCCAGGTTTACTGGCATGAATGATGTGGCATTACTCAGCAACTGAAGAGATGGAACTCTTATAGGTAAATTACTATTAATTCAGACACTAACCTATGGAGCCAATGACATTTGAATCATTAATGTTTTGAGCCATTTGCCAAGCTATAGTTTAATCTGGCAGGGAAGAAAGACTTTGGAGGCTGCCAGGTGCCTGTACTTGGCTGTAGGTGGCAGGCATCATTTCTCTTTTCTTTTGACTCTACTTCTTAGAATCATGCTCTCAAACAGATTCTGGAATGAGAACAGGGTAGTTCTCAGGCATGTAAGAAAAGAAAAATAAAGAACAAGATATCTGGATTAGATGGTGAAGAGATTGAGCTTGTTAACAGCTATAGTTTGCTTGGCTTCACAATCAACACTCTTGATACCAGCAGTCAGGAAATCAAAAGACGAACTGCATTGGGAAATCTTCTGTTAGGGACCTCTCCAGAGTACTGAAGAGTAATGATGTCAGTCTGGAGACTAAGGTATACTTGATCCAGGCCATAGTCTTCACAATTAGTTGCTATGCATCAGAAAGCTGGATAATGACTAGGGATAATAGAAAAAAAAATGATGCCTTTGAGCTGTAATGCTGGAGGAGTACTGAATATACCGAGGACTGTTAGGAGAACAGCAGGTTCATCCTAGAGAGGGTAAAACCAGGCTGCTCCTTGGAGGCAAGGATTCTGAAGCTTTGTCTGACGTGTTGCAAGGAGGAACCAGTCCTTGGAGAGGAACATCATGCTTGGAAGAGTAGAGGGACAGTGAAAGAGAGGAAGACCCTCAATGAGATGTTTTGATTCAGTGACTAGAGTAATGAGGGTAAGTGTGAAAGAGACAATAAGATTGGCACAGGATAGAGAACGTTTCAGGTCTATATATATAAGGTTGCTATGAGATGCAAGCAACTTAACAGCACATAACAACAACAAATCTGTATTAACCTCAGAGACACATTTTCTTTCTGTGAGCTCTAGGGAGATCTCCTATGATTTCTGTGAACATGTTGTGTACCAGTGAGTCGGAACTGACCCATAGCTGAGCCTCCAGCAGGTTTTTAGATGCAGTTAATCACATGGGAGAAGATTACCAAACAAACCATATATATATACACTTTCTCTCTATATACACACACAAACACACACACATATGTAAAATAGTAACACATGCTGTTAGGGACCTCTCCAGAGTACTGAAGAGCAATGGTGTCACTCTGGAGACTAAGGTGCACCTGATTGATACAAGCCATGATCTTTGCAATCACTTGTTATGCATCAAAAATCTGGACAATGACTAGGAAGGATAGAAGGAGAATTGATACCTTTGAGCTGTGGTGCTGGAGAAGAGTATTGAATATAACATGAACTGCTAGGAAAATGAATAGGTTCATCCTGGTGAGGACGAATCCTTGAAGGCAAGGATTCTGAAGCTTTGTCTGACATACTTTGGACATGTTTCAAGGAGGAACCAGTCCTTGGAGAGGACTTGGGAGGGTGGAGGGACAGCGCAGGAGAGGAATACCCTCTATGAGGTGGATTGATTCAGTGACTGGTGTAATGGGGGTGGGTGTGTCAGAGACAGTGAGACTGGCACAGGACAGAGCAGGGTGTAGGGCTGCTGTACATAGGGTTGTATATGACTTGATGACACATAACAACAACAATAGTAATATATATATGTAAATATATATATTTAAAGATGTTTCATGTTTCACTGTCAATCAAATCTACCAGCTGCTCTGTGGGAGAAAGATGGGCCATCTTTTACTACACAAATTACAGCCTCTGAAAACCCACTGAAGCATCAGCTATGAGTTGGTTCTAACTTAATGCTACATAACAATATAAAATTTACCATCTTAACTACTTTTAAGTATACAATGCAGGTCATTCACAATGTTTTTTTGTAATTATTACCATTATCTATTCTCAGATTACTGTCACAAACATAAAATCTGGATCCAATAAAGCCAAAAACTTCCTGTTCCTCCCACCCATAACTCCCCGATCAACATGAGTCTACTTTCTGTCTCTCTGAAGTGATCTATTCCAGATATTTCACACATAAGTGGAATAATAAAAATTCATGTACTTTGGAATCTTGCTTATTTTTCTGGCATAATGTTTTCAAGATTTACCAGTACTGTAGTATTTATAAGAATTTCATTCTTTCTAGTGACTGGATATACTATATTTTGTTTATCCATTTGTCTATTGATGCACATTTGAGTTGTTTCTACTTTTTGGCTGTTGTGAATCGGGCTACAATAAACACTGAAGCTCAAGTATCTATTTGATTTACTGTTTTCAATTATTTGTGTATATGTCGAGTTTATGCTCATGATCTTTCTTTCTTTCCCTCCCTTCCTTCTTTCCTTTCCTTTCCTTTCCTTTCCTTTCCTTT